CTTTCTCCTAGTCTGTCTGTGGAATCTTTCCAGGCAGTCTGTAAATGTCTGCGCTCTCTGTTCCTGAAATCACTGCCCTCTGCAACTACCACATCACCTCTTCATAGCTCTGCTACGAAGTTTTTTGAAGTTTGACCTGGCCCTGGCTTCTTGTCGAGACCAGCTGTTAAGTATTAGACAATTATTGGAAGTATAGTACGAACTTTTGGCCGTTAAATCCCTGATCTTTGCTTCTGACTCCAGGCCTGAGGTGGTCGTGGCAAAGGCAGGAACCATCTCCTGGAGCATTGATGCGCCTGGCAGGCCACAGCCCTGCGGGTTGTTCTGTGTGGGAAGGCATCTCGTTCAGAGCAGTCAGCGATGAGTGCCGCAAAGTGTTTTTTTAAAAAGTCAGGAATTTACATAGCTATTCAGTTGGAGGAATTATAAAGTCAGTTAATGCCCTGAGGATAGCATCAACAAAGATGCTTTTGTGTTTTAACCTCTGAATTTGTTCTTCAGAATTTTCTGAAAGGTAAGTGGGTAGGAAAATTTCCAGGAAGCCTCTCTAGTGTACTATGCATTGGCAAAACACTGCAGGTTGTCTCAAGTGAATATTAAAACTGGGCGGTCCCCAGGAGATAATTTCTTATAATCTACTTAGTTTGTTCTGGGAACAGAACACTAAATCAGCACCTTCCAAGGATACACAATGAGGAAGACAGACTGAGTACTTGGCCAGGATAGTTTATAATTGAATGAGATTTGGGTATGTGTTTCTGAAATTAAAAAAAAAAAAAAGAAAGAAAAAGAAAATCTAGGAGTTCAAACATTTTTATGCTAATTGAAGTCTTACGAAATCTACCCTGTGAGTCTCTTCTAATGGAAGAGACACATCGGGACATGCTGCTACTCAGCTGTTCGTGCGGCACCCGTGCATCCTGCAGCCCTCTGGGATCTGGGAGCCAGCCTGGGCTTTCCAGGACTGATACCAGGAGGAAACCCCTAGAGCTCTTCCAGGAAATTGAAAGATGACCGTGAAGACAAATTTAGGTTTGGTGAGCACGCTGTCAATCAGTTTTTTCAGACAAGGGTTTATATTCCCCATCTAATTTTCTAGACTGAAATTTCTGAAAAGGAACTAAGTTTTGTGAAAAATTATATCTAAAAATTGTAATATGAATGAGTCAAGCAATCAGCAATAATAGTAGACAACCTTAAATATTCTTATTGTAAGAGAGAGAAAGAACTACGGAATATTATTTTTGCCCTTGGGGAGGCTTACAGTTAAACTGAAGGTATATTGAAGTTCCTTTTATGTAAATTCTCACCTCTCTTCGTCCCATAGAAATAGCCAGTGTGGCATAGTTCAGTGTCAGAAAACTTAGCTTTAATGATATGAAGTTTAAAAAAAAAAAAAAAAATCCGTGTGGAGCCTGGGCGTGGTGGCGCATGCCTGTAATCCCAGCGCTTCAGAGGCTGAAAACAGGAGGATCACTGTGAATCCAATCTATGCAGTGAGACTTTATAGACCCTCTACTAAATACATTAAAAAAAATCCAGGTGTCTTGTGACTAACCACCAAAGATTCAGCTTTGTACCCGCTTTCTCATTTAAGAGACCATCAATTCATTTTCTTCCTGTGATGCAGTTGCCCCTTAAACAATATGGAAAATGCATAGAATATTCATTGGACAGACCTGCGGTGCTTTTTTATTTGAGTATCCTAGTATGGAGAATTTATGTCTGTTGGTTTGAAATCTGCAACTGAGCTACCTCTTGTAGAAGAATATTACAACAGAAAAAGAACTTTTAAATGGTTTAGTCTGCAGATAGCTCTAATTGCCTTTAATTAGAGGGAAAATCACCAACTCAAAAGAGTAAGATTTCAAATCAGTTGAAAATCAGAGTAATGAAAAGAGAAAACAACTAATCTCATAAATCTTAATTTTTAAACCACAGAATAATAGTTTCTTTTGGCAGTGAGGAACTGTTTTAGTTTCTCCTTACTTCTCAGATTAGAATTCTAGCATGATAGGAGGGTTGGTGTGGGAAAACTGGCAAGACTGTGAAGTGACAGGCTCCTGTGCCTCCTCAGAGTCTAGCTGAAGTACAACTGAGTTGTAGGTCAGCTAGAAAGGTTAAGGTGAGTCTAACATAAGGATCTGAGAAACAGACAACCTAGGTTGTAAACCTTGAGGCTGTGTTTTAGTAGAATAGGGAGAAGATAAATTTAGCATACTGTAGGCAAATTACTGGCAATCTTTTTAAAAACAAACTTTATCTTTAAGCATAACGAAATAAAATAGGCAGGCATTGCCATGTACACCTAGAGTTCTAGCTATTAGGAAGCTAAGGCAGGAGGATGTTCGAGCCTGGGAGTTTAAGGACAGACAGAGCAATATAGCAAATCCCTGCTGAAAAGAAAAGAAGACAAAGGAAGGAAGGAATCAATGCTGAACACATTTACTTTTATGACTTTTAAGTCAATTTTGGACCATCAGAAAAGAAGAAAACGTAAAGACCTATGGGTAGATTGTTTTGCTTGTGGAGTGATGAGAGACTTGTTTCATGTCGTAGGAGTATGACACATGATTTAGGGCAAGAGTGAGAGAGAAGTGTGGCGGGGAGCTGCTCTGGGGAGTGCATCTTTGCCTGTAAGCACGGCTTCAAGCTCACAGCATTTTTAAGAAATCGGCTCTGTTCTGTTCTTCTTGGAAAGTGGGATCTGTCAGGCCCAGGCTCCAGGGTGTCACAGAGCGTAATCAGCCACTCGAGCATGAAGCTGCTCATAACAGGAAAATTACTGATGTTTCTCATGATCGTGAAGCAACATGTGCTCAGCTAATTACAGCTGTCTGCGCCTGCTCTCACATCTTGAAACTCCATGACCCAGTTGTGGAAATCCTGTTTGTCTGCCTCCCACCCTCTTCTCCAAAGTATGAAAAATCGCAAACTACAAGGCCGGGCTTGTTGAATGAATGGGATTTTTTTTTTTTTTTTTTTTTGAGAACGTCAAAGCACGAGAGTAATGGAGGCCACTGGCTTGTGGGTAGATTTGTGAGCGAGATTTGTGATCTACATTTGCAGATAAGGTGTTCCTGGGAGGTGTGGATGCCGTCTAGGGGACATCAGCCCCAAAGAGGTCCCCTGGTGTTTTGCATGTTGCTGGATCAGGGAATGTAGACGAGACCGACCTCCGGTCTTCATGTCAGACACTATTTCACACAGGCAGTGGACCTGCACCGTCTGTGTGGCCTGTGCTTTATTAGACAAGTCTTTCTGCATCCCATTTCCCTAATTCTATGACCTACGCATATTTCTGTTTTATGTCTTTTTTTCCCCCTTGACACAAGTGGTTGGTTGTCTTACCTCCGTAGTAAATAGACGTTTCATTGTTAATGTCTTTTTATTTATTCACTTAGAGAATTCCATAGCCAGTAACTTACCTTCTTTGCATTAAGCTGACTCTATAGACTTCCTTTCACCTCCTCCAGGCCTCTCCAACAACTGATTTGCTAAGAGAGGGAGAGCATCATTTTTCCTAGATCATAAAGAAGGGTTCTTTAGGGTGACTGTTTAAATCTATTAGTTACTAGCAAGATATTTTATTAGTATTGTGGCCAGAAAGAAAAAAACATAAAGGATGCTCGGAAATAGCTTGATCCCCTGGAGAGAAAGAAAAGCTTCCTGAGCTTGGGTACTTTCTACCTACTTAGATGTGTTGGCTTGATGCACCCAATCTAATTAATAATGACATAGTAGTTAACATATTGCCATCAGCAGGTGGTTATTGGTGCAGGGGTGAAATTGGCATTGCTGAAACAAATTGTGGTACCTTAGAGAAATGTGCAGGATGATTCCTCCGAAGAATCTTAGCAATGTCTGCAATGTGGTTGCTTTTTGGCACTTAAAGCCATGTGTAAGGTTGGAAAGATGGAGAGTAGACAAACAAAACGCCAATGTTTCAACCTTTTCCAAAAGCTTTTCCAATTAGATTAAATAGTTGAATGGTAGCAGCAGAAAAATGCCAGAAAAGACTCAGGTGTCCTTCAGTCTCCAAGCTCTCCTTCTTTCCTCCCTTTTGGGTTTGTCAAGAGACTCTCATTCAGTGTGTGGCACTGCGTGACAGATGGCTGGTCAACTGTAGTCTATTGCTGTGTCTGTGTTTTAGCGGGATCATTGTGACAATGAAGGGGTTAAAACTGTCACCACCTATCAGAGTTTGGATAATTAGTGTAATACAAACTGGGGAAACTTGTCACTGGTGGCTGCAAACAAATGAGTTGTATGTGGCCACTGCTTTGTAAGAAATCCTTTCTAATCTCTTCCCAGTTCATGTACAGCTATGCTGATAATGATTAAAGATAACTGTGAATTATTTTTATTTTATTTTGGATGATATATTTTGAATTTGCACTTGCAGATGCAGGTTGAAGAAATAAAGACCCTCGGGGCAGGTCTTTAAGCTGCTCTTTCCGCGCACTACGGTTGCTAATATGCAATATTGAATAGTATCATTTAAGAATGCAAGCTATTGCAAAGTATACTTTATTCATTTAACCTTTTCTTACGAGGAACATAAGGAAAATGTAAATTTAATTCATTTATTTATTTATTATTTATTCATTTATTTTGTGACTAGCTCAGCCTACCCTGGGGGCGGGGCTAGTGTAGCATGTGGTGCCAGGACCCAAAGACAGTCCCTACCTTTGCCTGAGCTTACCTAAGCAGGCACTTTAGACCACTGGGCTGCTTGCTGGCCCAGAAAACGTAAATTTAAAAAAAAAAAAAAACATAAACTTGAAAAGAATAAAATACATTCTTCTTCACTTTATTGGCTTGAAGGAGGACACTGATATATGAAAAGCAAAGATCCTTAAAGGTATTGTCTTCAAAAGTTCACCTGGTGAGCAGGAAGGGACAAGATGACTGGAAAACAGGAGCAGGCAGCTACGGTGGACTAGGGGAAGCAGGGGAAAAGGCAACCTTCAATAACCCAGATATGTTCAAATCCACAGGTCCCCATGGCCGGCATCCTAGAGTACTTAATGAATTGGCCGAAGTCATCACAGAACCGCTAGATATCATTTTTGAGAACTCGTTGGAGGACTGATGAGGTGCCTGAAGACTGGAAAAGGGCATTTGTAGAGCCTTCTTTCAAAAAGGGAGATGCATGGTGACCTTGGAAATACTCATCAGCTTAACTTTTTGCTTGGAAAAGTTCTGGAATGATCAACTTAGTAAACTGGGTAATGACTTACAAGAGCTAGAAATAAGGCAGCGCAGTGTCACATGGGAAGAAGCACTGAGTTCTTTTGTAAAAGGGTATGCTTCATGAGATAGTCTCTCGGGATTCTCCCCCTCATTTTGTGAAAGTATTTCTTGGTGAAAATAGATGAGGTAGCTAGAGCATTTGGATAATAACTAATTTTAAGTATATTCCAAGAAAGGAGATGTCTGACGTCAATTAGAAATTATATCATTTCCAAATTAGCTTTCATCTTGCAAATGGTAGCTTTAATTTTGTTTTAACATACATATTATTTTACTTCATATAGAACTCTGATTTCATTAAGTTCATTAATTTCATACAATTATATCTAGCATGGTGAGGGAATTTATATTTAGGGTGCTTTTCATAGTGATCTTATATAGTGGCATAGCCATAAAGCTGAGAGGTTAAGGAACATCACCAAGGGAAGAACAGTTCTTCTCACCTCTTTTTAAAGACTTGATCTGGCTGAGGTCTGCTGTGAGGACTAATGACACTGAGCAAATGCCAGCTGGTTTACTGCATAGTGAAAGCTCCTCCCTGGTGAGCCCTGCCCCACTCCTGGCCAGTGCCTTACCCCACCTCCTATCCCCATGGGCTTCCTACTGCAGGCCGGGGATGGCAAGAGAAAGCCTATCCACCCATAGCTAACTGGGAAGAACGAATGGGGGCGGAGATTAAGATGAAGCTGGAGTTTTTCTAATTCTTACTTCCTTTGGGTATTAGTAGTTTTCTTTTCTGCTTAGAAAATTTACCCATGTTGGTGGGACCAAAGCTTAGCTGAAAAGAGGTCATGGGAGGAAGACACAGATAATGCAACACATTTATGGGGGTGGCAACCTCTGAGAGCCTAGAGCAGGCCTGTGATCTGGAGTCCTCACAGCTTAGAAGGATACCAGCTATATAAATTCATATCAGCATTGTCATCAGAAGGATAGGAAACTCTCAAAAAGAAAAGAGATTCATATTCATCTGTCCTCCTAGTATCTAGGACTCCCTAGGAAGGAATTAGGTTGCTGAAGAAAGTCTTAACACAATAATGTTTTTAAAACCTGAGACTAGGATTAATTTAGGCACCAAATAAAATCTGTCTCTTAAACCCCAATATAAGGAAATTAAATTCTGAAAGTATTAAACCATCATAGCTTACAGTTTTATAAGGATTATATTCCAAGCAACCCTCATGACTTTTTAAAAAGTAAAATGGTCTCTAAAACTTTTAAGCTAGATTGTTTAAGAGGTGAGGGAGTCGTTGTAGATTCCTGATGCAGCTTACTGTGATAATAAATGGCTTCCTGTTTGAGACCTCATTTCCAGGTACAGCCCCTGTGGCAGATTTATTTCGCAGATGTACATCTGCATGAATTTGTTGAACTATGGCTAGGAAAGATCCCATCTCTGAAAAATTTATTATTTTCTCTCTGGGCATTATGATGCAATCCACTGTAACCAAAAAGCAGCCATAAGGGTCATTTCAAGTTTTGTTTTCCATTTGAGTAATATGTAACTTCAATTATATTGTCAAATTTAAATCTTTTCTCTGTGTCTGAAATCGGGATTTTAAATTAACAAGCCTACCTAAGTTAAGGGTCACAATTTTGAACAGCAGAATAGCTAGTGGACTTGATAGCCTCCTTAGTTAAAGCTAGAGGAAGACAACCTTAAGCAAAGAAACATTGAAGGATGCCTGTTAATCTTTTGCATTAAATTAAGATGAAGTAAGATATAACATATAAAAGAAAGAAATTCTTACCATAGATTTCAGAGATAAGTTTTAATTACTCTTCAGAATAGTGTTTCAGTGTTTTTTCTTTATCTTTTGTGGTTTTTTTTTTTTTATTTTTTAATTTTTTTTTGGTACCAGGAATCAAATCATTTTATCTAAATGCTAGTGAGATCTTCAGTATTAGAAGAAAGTAGCAATTGACTAAGGAACAAAAATGTCATCTAAAGTATTGTGGATCATCTTGATTTATATTGCCTAAAACATCAAGTGATTAATTATGAACTTTTTAAAAAAATTATGAACATTTACTTTGTAATATTGAGGAGTTTAGAGGATTATAACAAAATTACCACATTTTAAAATTGTAATGGAGTGGGAAGAAATTTCTTCACATACAATGATTCTCAAAGGGCCGACCAAATAGTTCAGTGGATTAAAGCACCTGTAAGCAGGCCCAGGGGCCGGGGGTTTGATCCCCGGGCCTGCTGTGTGGTCCCTGCCCCCGGAGCGCGCTGAGAGAGGGATTGAGGCTGGGTGTGGCGGTGCGTGCCTGTAATCCCAGCTCTAGGGAGGCTGTAAACAGGAGAGTCATTATGAGTCCGATCTAGTAGTGAGACCCTGAACACCCTGTAGACCCTTCCCTAAAATACACACACAGAAAAATCTCAACTTTATAATAATTTTAAGGGCTCTTTTCTTACCAGTGGGGAGATAGGGGGAAGAAATAAGTGCACACTAACAAAGGCTAGTAGTTTGTAAGTCCAGAAACTCGGACAGCTTCTTAGTGCAGAGACATTTCCGGCTTTTGGGGCTTATGGAATAAATAGCAGTAATAAGCTTTGCAGTCTTTTCTTTGGCACCATGAAGATCTTAGTTCAACTTCTAGAGTTACCCTGATCGTATCCTCCTGTGGTGAATCTGTTAAAAGCATGAGCTGTACTCTAACTTGGGGAATACTCTCAAGCAATATGCACCCGCTTAAAGCTTCTTTTACCTCGTCCATGAAAAGGGAAAAATAAATGCTTCCTGTGTTCCTTAAGAAGCTTCAGACTTTAATCTTTTCTACCCGTTGACAGTTTTTGGCCCAGACCTGGCATGTGGTAGGTGCTCACGGCCTCTCTTCCTTCCTTTTCTGCCATTTTGTTTTCTTCTTCATGTCCTCTTACATGGAAGAGACTACCTGAACACTGACTAGAAAACACATAAACTGACATCCCTTGCCAACGTCTTAGACTCACTGAATAAGGCCTCTTTGCTTTTTGTAGGAAGAATTTTTTTAAAGTCTATGGTGTCTGCTTTTGGATGAAGAGCAGTAAATATATAGCCCTGAATGAAAAGAATCTGATTTTAAAACACAGTGATCAAATTCATACGGGCAAGGGCTTTTCAGTTCTGGGAAAATAGAACTGTGGACACGGATGAAGCTATTTCATTTTCATTCCTGTTTTTATAGCAGCGTCAAGTTTATAAATTCAGGGTGCGAATGCATGGCTGGCTGGTGTGCGTTTTCCTGGTACCAAGACTGTGATCTGCAGACAGCAGACAGATCTCACGATGGCCGCGCACCCGCGAACTCTTCCACGGGAAGAGACACCAGCCGCGCCGGCGACGGGGAGGCATCCGCTGCAGAATTGAGATCAGGGTGTCGGGATTATTCCCTGTCCAGACCTGGAGTGGTGTCAACAGATCCTTTGTATGGGGGCTTGAAGGAGAACAAAAAGAGAAGTTGAAGAAAAAAGTGCTGGATGAAAAGTCTGACTCATGTTGGTTCTTACGTGTAAAAGTTAATTAGGTGCCAAAATCTCACATTCAGGCCCATGGAAGAGTGTCAAGCATCACAAAATGCTTAGTAAAGGTCTTCTGATAATTTTGACTAAGGCCATATGTAGGTACGTTCTTAAATAAAATGAATCATTGAGAACCAAGGAAATCAGTCTGGCCCTCTGTTTGAAAATTTTCCAGCCTTATTATTATTATTATTGCTCTCAGTAGTCATTTATTATATACCCCTACATCAGATATGTTATACTATTAGATTTTTTTTTAATTTAAAATCCTCCATAGCTTTATATTATTACTCTCTAATGAGCGTACTCAACTTTATAGTCCAGGACCATTAACCACTATTCAGATTTTTCCATAAAAGGTAAAGGGGAAATGTGATATGTAGTTTAGAAAAACAAATTTTCTTATCAAAATAGATGTGTTCTTTTAAATTGTATAAATATTGGGAAAAAAGTTTTGTTTTTATGGTTTTTGTTAGAAGTTATGTTTTTAGAGAAAAGAGGTTAAATTTAACATTGAGAGCTGGGAGATTTTTTTTCCTATCTTTTACAATTTTACCCCCAAACTTCTTCTACTGGATGAAAAATAAAAGGAAATAAGTCAACTTTTAAACACTATGTAAGATGGGAAATTGTCTTATAAATATATACTGTACATGCCCTTCATTAGATGAAAGTTTGCATATTAAATGCTGTGTTGGCGATCTAAAGGACAAAGTGGTGTATTGAATGGGGCCGATGTTGTACCAGCAATGGCGAATCTTTTAGAGACGGAGCACCCAAACTGCAACCGTAAACTCACTTATTTATCACAAAGTGCCAACACTGTAATTAAACCTGAACACTGAGATTTTAGTTTAGAAGAAAACAACTTATACGTTAATATCTTTTGTCTTAAAAACACAACAGAGCTTTCAGCGATATAAACAGCTTTTTATTGAAAGGCAAAATTGCACTTGGTGTCCTTTGGCGCAGTTAAGGTGATCTTTGCTGTTGTATGCATACTTCTAATTTGTCAAACCTTGGCTGGGCAGCTTGGCTTGTACCCTACAGAGAGGGCTCAGCGCACCTGCTGCAGCACCTGGGCCAGCGGCTCACCACCACTGTGTTTAACTTTCTCTTGCCCATTGCAGGAGAGCTTGCCCTGATCCTGAAGCTTGAGAGCGTTCTTGGATCCTATTTGGGTTGCTAGAGCCATTATGTACTGGAAAGTTCTGCCCCTGCAGTTGTGCCTGTGTGGCTTCCACGGACTTGGAGAATCGGTGTGTGTGTGTTGAACAAGCCAAGGACAGATTCATTCTCATTGGAAAGCCCATGTTTGTGTTTGTACACATAATTGCAAGTTACACTTTCCCTCATCTTTTAAGTTATTTTTAAGGGACTTTATGGAAGACCTTGAAAGGCTAAGTAGGGATATCATTAGGAAGCATGTAACGTGTGCCTGGGCAGCTCTGTGATTTGCAAACATGTCTTTCCTTCAATAAATGTTATTGCTTTCACAAGTTGCTCTGCCTTGGCCTCTTTTGTAATCTTTCACAGATGAATAGAATAGTTTGTGCTTTGTTTAAACTGGCAGTATGTGAATGTTTATGTTATCATAGCATTATGGTCAGCTTAGGAAATCTTGAGTTTTAACTAAAAAGAAAGAAAAACAAGTAAGACTTTCCACACTTCATACAAAATTCATGTGTAATCATCATATGTCTTTGGATGATTTGGTATGATGTTAAGTATGAATGATGTGGCTTTCTTTTGTACAACTGTGTGCAGTCAGAGTGGCTCACAGCATGGGAGATGGAGTGGGGCCACAGGAAGTGGCAAGAGGGGTCGTGTGCGAGCTGTCTCCACGTGTGATTCTGCCGTGGCTTCTGCAGTGCCGAATGTGCCTCATCTGAGCATGGTGAGTGAGCTGTAGAGCATCAGGCTTCTCGAGTGTCCTTCACCCAGTCTTGCCTTCTAATCCCAACATGACTGCCTTCTGGTTTCAGGACATTGTATAAACATAACAATTTTTGTATATCCTTAGCATACTAACTAGCCCCAAAACATTAATTTGAAGACTTTTGTAACAGTGCTTTGGGGTATATATAAATGTCACGGTGTGCTGGGTTTTGGTAACTTTATTCCCAATTGAATATAAGACAAAGTAAATTGAAAGTAAGAAAGATGTAAAGTAAATATTAAGAGTAATAGGTAAAAATGTAAATTTTAGAAATGGGAAGAGAACTTAGGGATGATCTAGGCGGATCCAGCAGTTGCGTGATTAAGACATTGAAGAACTAGAGGTTTTGTGTCGTCCCACGATAGCGCATCTGATCGGTGGCACACAGTTGATGTTCTCTTGGGTCCTGTCCTCCTGGATTTTGTTCTCTGACCCTAGAACATATACCTAAAGTATTCCTTGACAGATCTGAACAAGACCCATCTTTCTGATTGAACTTCATTTGAACATAGACCCATGAGTCTCAGGTGTGGCTTTAGCACCCGTGTGGGTAAGCTGAAGCTCCAAGCAGGAGCATGCTTTGCAGCGACATGCTCCAGAAAATAAAAGCTGGTCTTTCTGCCTTACAGCGTTAGGCACTGTGGATCTTCCTTGACCACATCGGCATGTTTGGCATGCTTCGCAACAGGGGGAAGAGCACTAAAATGTAACTTTCTAAAAAATAGCAAAATACAGGCTATTTATTTAGAGCTATTTAGAGCTCACGGGCAAGTGTTTGTTAAAGAATAAGATAGTTTATGTCATTAATAAAGTCATTTTGAGGCAGCCTTTGAAGTCTTTCATCTGAATCTGGGTTATAAATACCTCTAGTGTCACTCCATCTGCTGCCCCGCTGAAGAATTTATTTTTACTTTACAAGAAGAATCTTGAACAATTTTGATGAATAATGCTCCCCTGCTCTGGAGTGACTCTGAAGACAGAATGCATTTTTATTATTATGAACATTTTTGGCCAGCATCCTATGCTTTGAATCACAACAATGTACCAATAGCAGGCTGTTTGTGGAGTCTCGTCTGTTTCTTATTTGAATAAGGAGCACCAATTGTAAACTGTATATATTCTGTGTGCATTATTTTGCATCACTTTTGGTTCAATCAGTGTAACTTAGGTTTTATTTTGGAAGTTTATCTATGTACCTGACAGTATTCATAATTAGATACATTTGACAGTAGTCTTTTTTTTTTTTTTTGTACCTTGGATTGAACTCAGGACCTCACACTTGCCAGGCAGGCACTTATGCTGCTGAGTTGCTATCTCCTCAGCCCAATTGGATGCATTTGAAT